TCGAGCTGATCGTTAGTGCAAATGCAGTTCTTGTTTGGATCCAGCTCGGCCCGTGAGTAGGTATCGAGAGCGGTCGGCCGGAGTTTCGTGTTGCGTCAACAGCGCTCCGTTCGAACTGGAAAAGTGGTTCGCGGCCGAACGAGCATGGATGTCGGAGTTTAGGTGTTACGCTTGTGTTCGCTTTCCCGGCCCTTAGGCGGTTAATTGTGAATAGACTCGCCGTTTTCACGGCTTGAGGGCTCTTTCACGAGCACATGTTAGGATGTGATATAAAGGAGTATTAATACGTGTTATTACTTCGTGATGAGGTCATTTATAGACTGATAGTATGTGATATCAAGTTGATATTTTATATATTGTATATTAGTACGCTTCACGTCTTCGTTATGCGGTCATTTATGGACGAGTATTTTGCTTTTTCTATTATCGATGGTTATGCATATTTCATTATTGTATATATTATTTAGAAATGCAGAAGAACCACAAAATTATGATTAGTATCCATTGAATTTGGAGGCATTTCTGTTGCTGCGAGCGTTGTTGAGCTGTGTTGATGCAGTTTGAACATGCAGCGCATAGAGGTGAATATTTAAATTCGTTACACGTTACTTACGTAACCGTTTACCGCATTGCACCGAAACTTTGCAATATTTCTAGTGTTGTTTTTGAACAGAACAGGACTGCGGTTCGCAACGCGTGAAACCAAACAGTGCACTATTTTTGCTTCACAGCCAATTAATGTTCGGGAGCAGCTAACAGTGGTTAGCTTAGTTTGTGTAAACTTTTTGTGGGAAAAGTAGAACTCTATTGTGTGAAAACAGAACTCTTTGGCTTTAAAATTAAAAAAAAAATAACCCAAAGAAGCCATCGAGTCGTTTGAATTGATTATTCGCTAATAAAACTCTATTTACTTTCGTTTTCTGACGTAGACGTCGAAATTAAGCCGGCTGGTAGGCACGAATTGCCGATTCCGAGTGAGGAACCAAAAATAAATTGCAAAAATACGTTTACTAATGAAATAAACGCCGCGTCAAATGGATCGGATGCTTTGGCGATGGCTGTTGGGTGAGCTTTTACTGCCAGAGAAAAATCTGTTCGATTGGAGATCCTATCTCATGATGATAAAGGCGCGTTTCGTTTGGCCGGGGTTTTGGCGGCGTTTTGTAAGAATGCCGCGTTGAATCGCCCGTACGGAGGAAGGCGCGGAATCAGTCTGGATAATCGAATTCATTAGTGCTCTTTGTGCTGCAAACAGCGCGGAAGGGCAAGCCGTTCCGGTCGCTTATCTATTTATCACCGATGCAGACGTGTCTCGTAAATCAATACGCGTTTGAATGGAGGATACACCCATTCATTTTGGTAACAGCCCATACATACATAACCCACTGCTAGGTAAAGAACTCTGTACTGTGTGAATTAGGGTGTAATCGAGTACGCTCTTCTGCGTTCTCGAAGACAAAATACTGTTGATATAGATTGAGAAGACTTGTCCAAATGTTTCTACAAAGTCATTAAAATGGGCACCAATAATTTTATTGTATTTTATAAAACCTTACAAAATTCAATGTATAAAATTAAAACATATATTAAATTTAATTGAAAATGATATGAGACATGTTAGAAATAAAATAAAAATAACAAAAAGGAAACCGATCCTGCCAGGATTCGAACCTGGAATCTTCTGATCCGTAGTCAGACGCGTTATCCATTGCGCCACAGGACCTGTGACGACTTGATCTAAATTGAAGTACAAATACAAATTTAGTTATCTCTCGTGTAATTTATGTGACTTCTTTAAAGTTAATAGAAAAACGTTGGAGGTAAACATTTCCGAGAAAAGATAGCGTCTTGGGGCGAGCGTAATAAATTATTGAGAAGAAACAAACGTAGGAACACTAAAAGATTACATGAAATTGCGATACCCACATTAAGTTGTTTGCAACACACATATTAAATATGTAATATAGTATAAAACTAAGTCGTCCCGCTGTCTGTCTGTCCCTTTATATGCTTAGATCTTTAAAAGTTCGCAAAAGATCTTGAAGCGATTTTTTAATAGATAGAGTGATTCAAGAGGAAGGTGTATATGTATAATAATACATTGCACCCGTGCGAAGCCATTTATGTAAATTATTTATTCTGTTTTAACGTGCTTTCCCGGAGATGTCATTCTAGTGTTACTTACTACAGTTAAGACAATTTAAATTTTTTTGTTCAAAATTAAATTTTTGCGACATTAATATATTATTTTGGCAAGAAATTCGATGTAATGAGTCCATTTAATTGTCTGTATAAGTTTCGTATTGAGCCGAGCGATAGTTCTCGAAAGATCTCGGAAGGCCTATTTTTTTATATTATAGGAACACAAATTTCGTCCACACGCCTCAAATGGCCGGAAATAGGCGTATTGAAAACGTGCACGCGACGCGGGACAGCATGACCCGCTTCTCGGTAACGGAGCAGCAACCGTTGGCTGCGAGCGAACGCGGCCAGAAATGAAAACTTTAACACGGCAAATCCCCTTTTCTACTAATACTACAAAGAGTTCTGAAATTTGCAGGTATTTTTCTTAAAATAAAAACTTTAGCCACGCATATTTTTATTTGAGATAGACTGTCGCTAGTCAAGAGGTACGCAATTAAAATAATCAAGGTTGATTGTGGATTAATTCGCGGCAGTTGCTAAGCAACGGTCAAATTTCGAAACGTTATTTAATTATGCACCTGGTAAGAAGTCATAACAGTTTTTAAGTTTAACATAAATAAATTAAAATGTAAATCTATATTCCAGTTATTTTGGTAAGATCGAGGTAGGTAAATAAAAATTCTCAAAATAAAAAAAAATAAATCGTTTTTATTCATCATATGAATTAAATATCAGAAAACCTATGCAGTTGACTTGAATTTAATAGATTTCCAATTGTAACTAATAAAAGTTCGCATAAAAAATTCAAACGGATAAAAAGAATTGCACACAGCACCTCGTAGAAAGCGGGACAAGAGGCTAGCGTACCGTACGCGGAGCTTAGAATACCGCTGCCTGCCTGGTATTTGTCGGGGATGTTACGCGGGAGTACAAATAAAAATTCCCAAACAAAAAGTCGTACCGGAGGCCGCGCGGAAGTAAAAGGTGTGTGTTTGCGGGAACATAGAACGTTCCTAATTTCATTTGACTTCTATACGGTATAGTGTGTAATTTAAACTGCAATAGCTCCGCCACACTTTACAGGCACCGTTCGAACTAGGACGATTCTGCCGTCCACGCTAATTTCACTCCCTCCCCAGCATATTTACGCCAGCCGCCTCCCGAATTAGCCTCTAATCTAAGTCCACCTCAACTTTTTTAGTCGTGTACTGTGCGGAAACAGATTGGCACCGGCATAAATTTTATGAGCTTTAAGGTATTTACGCGAATTTATAGCGATGCATTTAATTCAATAATTTTTCTGATTTAATAAAAATGACTGAGATTGGATAGCTTAAATCAGTTTGGAGTCTGCACTACTTAAGGATTCATTTGAGAATCACCGCAACGATTATTAATAATTTTCATAAGTTACAGAGCTGACTTTTTCTAGTTCGACTGTAAGACAGTAACTGCTGTAAATGTTGATATTTTATCACGGAACAATTGCTTATTCCATTCGAAACGTAAGGGGATTTCTTTAGAAGCGTAGATATATGATAATAAATTTGAGAAGCGTCTGGTCTACATTCTTTTTCTCTTATCTTAAGGACTTCAGCTTTATCAAAGGGGATTGACCTGTATCATGAATCACTGTTGAAGTAACATTAGTTTATGGTCCCTTTACTTATAGTATTTGCTCTTGTGGCTTATGTTATTTTAAATTTAATATTTTGTTTTTGACTAATAAAAATTGTTATCTTACATTTTAATATCACGTTCATTTGCATAATATCCATTAAAAGTCTTGAATTTTACCGCTAAAAGCGACCTAATTATTAAGATTTTGCAACTCTTAAAGTTTTTTATAATCTCAAAGAATATCTCTTAACCAAAGCTGCTTGTATTGGGTAATGATGAATTTCTTGAGTTCAAAACTAAATGTGATTGAATGAAATTATAGCAGTGATGTCATAATTCGTTACAAAACACTTCTTGTTACATTCATAAATACAAAATTTCTGTTTTTGTATTCAGCTAAGAAAAATTTAAATTGGTAAATAAATGTTACGGAGATTTTGTCGAATAAATAATTTTCTTATAATACTAACCAGGGAAAAGCAAAATTTAATATTCCAAGATATTCCATTCCTTTTAGAATAATAGCAATGTCTCGTGCTTTTAGGGCGATAGTTAAAAAGGGACTCCGTCGAAGAAGGATGGTTACTTCTACTTTGTAATTTAAGTCAAAGAACTACCCTCGCCCGACTGTAAGGGGACGTTGCAGAGCCCAAGTTCGAATAATAATGCGAAGTAGGGGTGAGGGGACGGGCGCGGGGCGGTGGGGGTCAGACACTCCGGACCGGTTCGACGTCGTCACAAGATGGTGCCACTCGAGCCTGCCCTCGTTTGCCTTGCTTATAAGTACGGGTATTGTTTGTGTATCTGCGCGAACTCTCCTTTCATGTTATGTTATTTTAAAACGTCACTCTTACCATCCGGAGCACGTATTTAACAAAGAAAATAAATGCGTTCGTGGAGTTCAAGTCGAGTAACTAACGCTTGGGCAGGGTATACGTCGGGCTTAGATTTAAAGACGGACTACGGACACGATTCATTACGACAGATAAGTCGGAAGAACGTTCTCATCCTGGAGTTTTTGTTGTAGGCAAACTGGTTCAACTCGACCCGCGACGAGACCTAGTTATGTAGTTTCAATAGCGAACCGCGGTGGATAGCTTTCTACGCGGCGCGTTGATGTCTTCCGCACGGAGTTGCGCTCGCGCGCATTATCGGGTCGATTCGTCGTTTGTAAAGCGCGTCTTCGTTATCGCGCGTTGAAACTAGGCGCATGAGCCTCCAGCGCTAAAAGGCCCATGCCCGCAATCGCAAACCGCCGCCGGAAGAAAGCTGCCGGGCGCTACGAGATCGGAATTTGGCCGATGAGGCGCACCCAGCTAACCGCACCGCGCCCCGGCCAAAAGTGTGCCAACGAACACCTCTAACCAGACGATCTGTCGTCGGCACTTTCACATCACCTTAAATTAACACTCGATCGGGCGCTAAACGCTCACGCTACGCCCGTAGCGGCGTAATCCGACGGTGTTCACCCACCTTATCGACGTCGGGCGTTCTAAATCCAAAAATCCGGTTATGCACTATCAGGGGTTGGGGTTAACGCACGAGCACTGCTCCGTGACACAAACTCAACACACAAGAGTCACAAGGTCTGCCACATCTCGGCAGCCGGTGCGGTCGCGACGGCCGCCAGGTCAGCACTGAGGCTTTCTTCGAGTCACGGCGCGCGGGCGCAGCCAAGAATGAGGCGGCGACGCACACAAACGCACCTTTGTGTGTGTGTGTGTGTGCGCGCGCGTTTGACACGACCGGCGATTAGTCTCTAATAATTCTTATTCCTGCGTTCGCGCATCAGCAAATGTTAATGATATCACTGCTCAATGTTAAACGTATGACGAATCTTAAGAAAAATGAAACCACTTTTTAAAAGTAACAACATACAAATTGATTGTACGTGTACCAGCGAATTAATTAACAGCTTTGCACTCAGGTAGAGATGACTGTGTCAAAATATGGTTTAATCTGGCTCTTAATTGTTTGTAAATGTTCATCGCAGTTATTCATGTAATATATTAAACGATGTGGTTAAAGTGCATAATATTAATCATAGCAGAAATATGCATATATATATAAAGTGTTAATTATACAAGACAAGTATATTTATACTACCGTTCCGTTACCTACGAAATACGTGGATGAAACAGTTATAATATGTTTGCACTATACAAGGCGGAGCAGACGTGTAGCTTACATATTTAACAGTCAAACACTTTAGGAAATGGCACGGTTGCGTTGGTGCCATTATATCTTGGGTGCTTTTTTGTTTTGATATTTGCATCTACAATAAGGTAAAAGTGTTCATTCTGTGTCTTATAAAAATGAAGCATGTTACACATAAAATTCAAATAAATTATTAAGATAGACATATGTACATACATTCAGTTCATCATTTATTTTGTGTCTTTTTTAATTGGTAATAAATTGAATAACTAAAGTATGTAAAACATAACTAAAAAAAATGTTTTCCACGATTGTTTTTGCGTTTAAAATGTTAGGGTCAAAATATTCATGTGTTAACAGCAATTGTTTTCCCTTTTTTGAAGTAAAAACAAAATTTTTAGGCAAATGTGTGATCTCCTGTCTTTTTATTTTTGGTTAAAAGTTAGCAAGTAATGACCGCCGCCCGCTCATGGACAACCGTTAAAAGCAATTTAACGTTATTTACTTACTATGGCTTCCTATAACAGCGGATGATGCGTGGCTGTAACACAGTCTGTATTCATTTATACGAACTGAAAACCGGCCAAGTGCCAGTGGGACTCGCACACGAAGGGTTCCGTACCATTATCTATAATAAGACGGTAAAAACCTGTCTGTTGTATGGGCGCCCGCTTAAATATGTTTTTATTACGTTTTTCAGTATTTGATGTTATAGCGGAGTCTAACTAATAGGGTCCCGTTTTACCCTTTGCGTACGGAACTCTGAAAATAATTTTAAAATTATAGAGGAAAACGAAATAACAAAGAGGAAGCGTGGTCACTGCTGAACTTAATACTCCAAAGTTCGCAAACTATCTCGGTCCTGTGCAGCCAGCATCCATCCACTGCACGCCACCGTTTTTAAGTCGTCAGTCCATCGTACTGCAGGCGGTCCCACACTTTTATTTTAATTCAATAACATGTTAATAAAATTAAAATAAGATTAAATGTAGTTTATATACATTTTAATACTAGCGACCCGCCGCGGCTTCGCACACATACAATATATTATACATATAAACCTTCCTCTTGAATCACTCTATCTAATAAAAAACAGCGTCAGGATCCGTTGCGTAGTTTTAAAGATCTAACTATACATAGGGACAGACAGACAGCGGGACGACTTTGTTTTATACTATGTAGAGACAACGTTTTTGCTACTTAAAATAACTTCATTGTACATGTGTCATACAAATTAGGGACATTCAGATTGAAGACTTTCACTGAGTAGGCATTTGTCACATGTGAAAAAAAATTTTCATTGAGATAACATGAGAAAACCTCTTATTCATGACTTCACTTCAATAAATAAATTCATTTTCGAAGAACACAGTTTCATCGCAGTTTCACCGATACGTAACCTTGGTGACTGGCGAGAAGTTAAACAACCGGCATTGGTATGTTTGAGCTTAAAATGTCTGAGGAATGCACTTTCTCTTAAATGTAGGCGTCTGACGTCATAAGGAGCGTCAGCGCAATACGTCATCATTTTCTTATTAGTGGCGGAAATAGAAAATACAAATATCTTCGTTCGAGTTGAAGCCGTTGTGTTCAACAAGAATAACGGAATAGTATTATTCTTTGTTCTTTTTGAACAAAGCGCCTTTAGAAAAGAAAGTTTTTATACCAATGAATATAATATCAGTAACAATGCAGTAAATTCTACAACATTTCGCGCTGTGTCCGACTTGAAAATATTTTTCTATTCAATTTATTTTTTATTTTACGTGGAAAAAAGTATACTATGTTTTGTAAGCTAATAAAAATGTACAACGCATTAATATGTATTACGTTTGTACACAGTATTTCTGTCTGGGTAAGCTCAACCCAAACATTGGAGCCCCAAACGACTTTTGCGCCTAAACCCGCCTATACCCTAAACCCGCAGGAGCCTAAAGCTCTAGCAAAAACAGAGGGTGTTGACTATTGCAGGGATGCCTACCTGATAATCTCTGGTAGAGTGTTCCCGATGGCTGGATTCCTGTTCTGGGAACTGATACCGATAGAAGCTGATACCCTAGTGTCATTGCACTATTAGCACTAGAAAGAAAAAGCCCAGGGCCATACGATCACCCCGTAAGAGTTGGAGGAGCTCATTGCTGGCCTAAGAACTGTGGAAGACCATACGTCTTGTCCTCAGGCTTAATAGGCGACACGGCACTCTTACCTACCGTGCGACGGAGATCCTCTCGGGACACAGTTGTTTTGCAAAGTATTTATTTCCCGTGGCGAGGAGGGAGCCCAAGGCAGAATGCTGGCATTGTGACATATGTGCCGAGTAGACGGCGAAACAAGCGTAGGAGGAGTGCCTTGTCTAGGCTTGTTAAAGTTTGCGCTATGGTGGACAAAGAGAGGGGTTGGATGCTTTTCTTGCTTCGGAGAGACTTAGGGAGGCTAATTGTCAGACTGGATATCCACCGCCGAAGACTAGGGCACATGAGGCTAGCTTACGCGCGCAACCTTAGTGAGAGTGTCTGTGAAAAGAAAAACATTAAATAAAAATAATCAATCACGAGCCAAAGCCCCGGCATTAACGAAAACCATTACACACTGGCTTTAGAAAAAATATAACAATAGGTCTATTAGCTTATGCTCACCGCGTTTTCTATGAACCCATAAACAGGCGAGTTCGTACAGTCCTTGTAAAATCGGAACCAGTAAATTGGTATACTTTGACCGAAAGGTGCTAGAAGACGTGATTTCCGACTGTTCTAGTGATACTATTTATTACACTGCGTGTGTCGATTAAACTGTGAAATAATGTTGACGTCAAAACTTACTCGTATCTCTTCTTTAAATGCGCGAGGTTATTTTTTGTTATGTTCTTCTCTAACGAAGTAGAGGAATAACTGCTTAGTGTTGTATTTATATAGTATTGTAGGAGAGAAATAGCATTTAGAAAAGTTTTTGTAGTTTTCTAAGGAGTAACGGTAGTTGTAAGTCTTTAGTTAAGCCGCTGACGATTAAAAAAATCCAAAAACTGAGTGAAGGCACAGGAGGCCCAAACACGTAACATTTCCAAACTGGGTACCAATTATGCTGGTATTAGGCAGAACTTATTTTGAATAGAAATTATTTTGAAAAATTCACTTAAAGTAGAGGAATTCTTTGTATCAACATTCACGCAGATGAGTTAGCAGGCATGTTGATTTATAGATCATTTGATCGGCAGTTATGGGAAAAAATTAATGGAATTTAAAAAAATAACTTTATACATTTTATAACTTATTTTGCCAGCCCAAAGAACTTTAAATTTCTAAACAAATAAAGTAGCAAACATCACACAGCACCATTTATGGAACCTATGATGAGAATTTTCTAGATAAATAACAAAAACCGAGTGACGTTGCAGGATTCGAATCTGCGTAGTGACTAGCACTTAAAATATGAGTCTATTTTTTATTACCGAAAACCAAAACCGATTTCAAACATCTCGCTTTGCATTCATTTTATACCTAATTGATTTTTAGGAGTTCCCTAAGTATTTACGGAGCCCAAGATACAATATCAATGAAATTAATACAGGACCACATGGAAAGCACCAGCTTTAAAATATAAAAGAATCATCAAAATCGGTTCCCTCAGCCGAAAGTTCTGAGGTAACAAACATAAAAAAATGCAGTCGAATTGAGAACTTCCTCCTTTTTTGAAGCCGGCTAAAAATGAATCTTAATTGAAACATATATCCTATCCAAACAAGTTTTTAGAAATTAAATCTTAACTATATTAATAACATTAAATATAAAATTACGTATCATTTTCTAAATTTATGCAGTCAATAATTAAGACAATTGTAAAAATATTATTCAGAGGATTTTTTGTGATTATTATGGCTACAAGTTTCTTACTTTGTTCTTATTTTCATAATGATTAATCGGCCTCTTTTCAAAGAAAGAAACTTCCTGTTGCTTATCGGTACATTTTTTATGTCGAATCAGACTTCAATAAAGTTTAAATGAACTTTTGACTTTTTGCCAATGAAATATCTTAATCTTCCTTGTAATGTTTTTGTAAGAAAAATGATTAATTTTCCTTCAGAAGTACCGCCTTAAAAGGACAGAATTTAAATTGATTGACAATAATTTTATTATATATATAATCACAACAAGTACATAGATGGATCGTCTGGGATTTGACTGCTTTCTAGTAGTTAGCGTGAAAAATGAAAATTAAGAAACCATTCACTTTATTCACTTGGTTTCGGTGACCCCGAATAAAACAGATGCTCGGCGGACACCTTAGAAGAGCTGCAATTTACGCCAACGTCAACCCAGTTCACCTGAGGTGAACCATGTAATCGAATATAGGGGCCAGTCTAATAACCTTAATCCTAACGGATAATTCAGTTTTCGTCCAAAACATTCTTGTCGCGAACAAGTCCACCGCTTCACAGAGCACATTTTATAAGGCGTTAACAGATTTCCATATGCACGGGTCTTTGACGTCACTCACTACATAAGCCGGCAACTCACAACTTACCAAACAGGCTTACTCACATTATTCGGGCTTTCTTGTTAAATCGCTGTTTTTGCCATAGTGTAGCGGGCATTGCTCATG